TGACTGGGGTAATCGGGATGGGTGTGTCAGAGGCAGTGCGGTTGGCGCAGGATAGAGCAGGGTTTAGGGCTGTTGTGCATAGGGTCGCTATGAGTCGAAAATGACTCGACGGCACATAACAACAACAACAACAACAGCTATTACCCTAACTGCTGATTGCAAGTACAATTAAAATTAAATTTTTGACAAATTCACCTTTTTCTATATACCATGATGTTGCCTATTGGTCCAGCGGTGAGGATTTTTATGTTCTCGGTGTTGCATTGTAATACATATTGAAGGCCGTAGTCTTTGAGCTTCTGCAGTAAATTTTTCAAGTCCTCTTCAGTTTCAGCAGTCAATGTTGTGTCATCTGCATGATACAAGTTGTTGATGAATCTTCCTCCAATCAAGATGCCCCATTTGCTTTCGGCCTTTGGCTTGGAAGAGGCCTCAGGGCAACTTTCTTCTGTTGTCCCACATCTGGGTTCATCTGGCACCAGCCAGTTCCACCATGCTGCCTAAGTTCAACCCCAACGAGATTAAAGTCGTGTACCTGAGGTGTACCGATGGGGAAGTTGGTGCCACATCTGCTCTGGCCCCCAAGATCAGCCCTCGGGATCCGTCTCCAAAAAAGTTCAGTGATGACATTGGCAAGACCACCTGTGATTGGAAGGGACTAAGGATTACAGTGAAACTGACCATTTAGAAGAGACAGGCCCAGATTCAAGTGGTGCCTTCTGCCTCTCCCCTGATCATGGATGCCCAGGGAACCACCCAGAGACAGAAAGAAGCAGAAAAATATTAAGCACAGTGGAAATATCAATTTTGATGAGGTTGTTGACATTGCCCGGCAGATGCGACACCGCTCTTTAGCCAGAGAACTCTATGGAACTATTAATGAGATCCTGGGAACTGCCCAATCTGTGGGCTGCAATGTTGATGGCTGTCACCCTCATGACATCATAGAAGACATCAATAGTGGTGCTGTGGTTGCCCAGCTAGCTAAGAACTACAGATGACAATATTTCAATAAAAAATCATTTGTTAACAAAAAAAGCCACATTCTTTTTCCTATATCCTAATTTCTCTAATGATTTTACCAGTGTAAAGATTGAATATGTATGGATAAAAGGAGCAACCTTGATGCACAGTTTTTCTGATTTTAAATCATGCAGTTCTCCCTTCTTCTGATCAGAAAACTGCTTCTTGGCCAATATATAGCTTTCACAGAAGCACAATTAAGTATTTTGGGATTCCCATTCTTCTCAATGTTAGACATAATTTGTTATAATCTACACAGTGAAATGTCTTTGCAGTCAGTAAGACCTAGATTAACTTTCTTCTGGTATTCTCAAGATCCATCTGACATCAGCAATGATATCCCCAATGCTAAAACCACTTCTACACCTGGATTTCTGGCAGTCCATATTAAAATCTTTTCATCAATATTTTACTTGCATGGGATGTTAGTAATATTGCTTGATAATTTCCATGTGTTTTTTAGTGGGAACAAATATGGATATCTTTAATAGGCTAGGTAGTTGTCTTCCAAATTTTTTTTAGACTCCAACTTTTTAAAACTTTTCTCCTTTTACCCAAAATAAAGTAAAAGAAATAATACAGGATTAAACTGTAGAAACAGTTAATCAGTAGAATACATATACATACACACACAAAAAAAAAAAAATCCCCAGACAGGAAGACTGGCTTATTTACCATGAGGAAACATATAAAATTTAGGTAATTTTTGTATGAAACATTAAAAAAATATGTTACATGAGTTCTACTATCTACAGTATGGAAGAGGAAGAAACAGTTACTTAGAGACAGATACACCATAGGTCCAAGTATTATAGTGTCAGTGCAACAAATTCACAAAACTATATCACACCTAGTTAATCAGAGTTTAAGGATTGCTCCCAATTATGACCCAACATATGTGGCCTTCAATGGATCACACCTACTGTTTTCAACTACTTTGATGTTCTATTCAGTGAAATGGAGAAAATGGTTCTGAGAAGCTTGCTGAAGAATTACACCTTTGCCAGTGGTCAGCTCTCAGCAACCACCCTTGCCTTCCTCAGAGAAACATCTAAGAAAACATTCAGATGCTGACCCAGTCCCTACCCTCAGTTCCAAAACTGAGACACCATGGAGACTCATCAGGCTCCTGTTAAAGACTTATTCTGGTCTGGAAAAATTAGTAGGATGAGCTATTTCCTACAGAAAAGAATCTTAACTAACTTAAGATTCCTGTCCTTCACTGGCTGGGCTTGGACTAAAGGTCATGAACAGGAATCTTAACGTCTGTGCACTTTTGTTTTAGTCAGCTGAACGTGTGTAATTAAACTATCTTAAAAATCTTACTCACTACCTTTTGCAAGCCCATTGTTTCAAAGGATTTACTCCATTGCAGTCTATCTGGGAGGGCTCAGAGATCAATTCCCATCAGAATCCCCAGCCGGCAGAAAAGGTCAATGCTTCCTACAAATTGCTAAGCTCCACTCAGAGGAGAAACAAATGAACACATACTAGGGATGTGGAATTAAGTTTCACTTTTGTCCTCTGGGGACTCTTCCTCCAAAGTAAAAGCAGCAGAATGAGGAATGAGCCCTAATTGATCTTTTCCTCCAGGGAAGTGGTGAAATTGGTCTCTGTATTCATGAAGCCAGAGAGCTGTTAGAAGCAGAGGTGGAAGCGGCAGGACCTGCTTCCTTCAGCCACAGACCACTTGTTGTAGGATTAGCTCTAGCAAAGATTAACTCAAACAATTACTAGTCACTGGTAACCAAAGGTATCAAAGGGTAAAATTCACTGCTTTCTTATTCTAAAGAAAATGCCTAAAAAGAAGTCAATTAACCATGGATCAGAAAATTCAAAACAAGTTAGTACTCATTAATGCATTGTCCACGGAAAATCAACTGAAGAGAATACACCAGCCCCACTGGGCGTGACGACACCGTGTATAAAGCCTTACTTGACAAGTGATGAACTTCTGTTCACTAAGGGCAGAGTTGGGGAGATCAAAAGGCTACTTGTGTAACATTTCACAATACAGACAGCACAGTCAGAACTGTTGCCAGGGACGACGCTTGCTCCCATCAGTCACACTGAAGAAAGCAGATGCATTATTCATCTTTTCTTTTTGTTTGAGAAGCTTGTTAATCTCCCTGTTGGCCATTCTAATGTACTTCGAGACTATGCTGTGTTGGTTTAGTCCAGGCAGCAACAGTGCAGAAGTTCCAAACAAGTATGTGAGGAAAAGGTTGTGGACCTGCTGTCCCACCCAGGCGACTGCAGCCAGAGGAACGATCATGGTCATGAAGTACATTTTAGGCATTTCTTCCTTCAGTGTGAAGAGGCGTCTCCACCAGCCCACGGCCCTGCGTCGTATTTTTGCTAGATTGCTGCAAATCTCGTGGAATCTTTGCTGCTGCTCAGCGGTCCATTTATTGGAGCCAAAAATTCGAGGTGCAAGAATGGGAACAAAGTAGTCAGCCAAGCACAGAAACATCACAAAACAGGAAACACCAGACAGGACTGACGGACCTAGATAGTAGACTGTCCAAAATACCAAGGACACCACACCCATGATGGCAGGTGGAACTCTGTGGACCATCAGCATCACCCCTCCTCATCCCTGGAGCTGTTCTTGTAGACTCGCCATCTCTGCAGCTAGCAGATTGGTGCTACGATTATCCCTGAGGTGCTGCCTCAGCAAGCTGGACACCCCTAAAGCCACCTTTTGCCTAGTCTTCACCGCGACCCCCCTTCCAAATTTCTTGACATAGACTAGTGAGCACATCCAGAGCTACATCCTTTTGCTGAAATATGTCTATTTGTATTCCATCATTTCCTGGGGACTTTTTTTCTACCAGTTCCTTCAGTGCAGCTTGCATTTCTTCCTTCATTACCACTGGCTCTTGATTATATGCTCCTTCCTGAAATGGTTCCACATCTACGAATTCTTTTTTGGTACAGTGACTTTATATTCCTTCTACTGGATTAGATTGTTGATCTTTTTCTATTTGCTAAAGATGTATTTGTTGGGTTTTTTTGGTTCTCTTGTGATGTCACCTCTCTCATTTCTTAATCGAGTTATCTGTGTCTTTTCTTGCTTTTGATAAATTTGCCAGTGTTTCTCAATTTTATTGACCTTTTTGAAAAACCAGCTCCTGGTCTTATTAATGGTTTCAACTGTTTTTCTGTTTTCTATCTCATTAATTTCAGCTCTTGTCCTTGAAACTTCTATTCTTCTTGAGGCTGTAGGATTAGATTGTTGCTCTTTTTCTATTTGCTAAAGGTGTTCTTGTTTGTTTGTTTGTTTCTTTGTTTTTGGTGGAGTTTTTTTCTCTTTTAAAAAATTCATTAATTTTAATGAACATTTACAGAGATTTTGGATTTCCATTCATTCATTGTTGCACTTTTCTCCCTGCCCATCCCTTCCTCTTCCCCCTCCCAGTTCGCTCCTCTCTTTGAAAAGTAAGCAAAAGAAAAATTCCTTCATTGGTATACAATCCCCCGCCCCCACCCCAGGGCACTCCACTATGCAACCTTAATTCTGGACTCTTGTGATAACCATAATACCCTATCTTATATCGCTTTTAAACTGTCCTCTCCCTCAACTGTTTCAATGCAGTACACATAATTTATCCTGTTTTTCTCAGTCTTACCCCAACCCTGATGCCAGTCCCATTCTACAACAGTGGCACAATGCAATATTTTTCCTTTTGTGACTGAGACATTTTACTCAGCATAATTTCCTCCAGGGTCACCTATTTTGAATAATATTGCATGAGTTCCTTGTCTTCCCAATGTAGCATAGTATTCCATTCCAAGCTATACCACAGCTTCTCTATCCATCCGTTTGTTGATGGGCACTTAGTTTGTTTCCAACTCCTTGCTATTGTGAACAAAGCCGTGATAAACATGAGTGTGCATATATCTGCTTGGATGGTGGTTAAGGTCTCTTTAGGGTATATTCCTAGTAGTCGAATTGCTGGGTCAAATGGTATCTCTATTTGCAACTTTTTGAGAAAGCATCACACCACTTTTCCACAGTGGTTGTACCATTTTACACTTCCACCAACAGTGAATAAGGGTTCCAGTTTCTGCACAACCTCGCCAGCATTTGTTGCTTGCTGTTCTGTTAAATTTTGCTATTCTGACTGGGGTGAGATGATATCTCATAGTTGTTTTGATTTGCATCTCTCTTAGAGCTAGGGATTTTGAATATTTCTTCATGTACTGGTTGGCCATCTGAATGTCTTCTTTGGTGAAGTCTCTGTTCATATCCTGTGCCCATTTTTCTATTGGATTATTTACATTTATCTTGTTGTGGTGCTCAAGTATTTTATAAACTCTAGATATAAGTCCCTCATCTGGCATGTTATTACCAAATACTTTTTCCCAATCTGTGGTTTTTCTTTTTACCCTGTTGGAGAAGTTTTTGAATGTGCATAGGGATTTGATTCTTAGAAGGTCCCAATCATCTATTTTATCTTCTCCTGGTTGTAGATTTTTCAGGATACTTAGAAGACTGTTTATGTTGTGGATTAGGACTACTAGAGTTCTTCCAAGCTTTTCTTTAATGAAGTTTATAGTCCTTGACTTTAGTCTTAGGTTCATGATCAACCTTGAGTTGTATGTGGAGTGAGATGTGGATCTTGCTTGAGTCTTCTGTAGATATTTTTCCAATTTTTGCTAAAGGTGTTGAGTTAGAGCATTCAATCTTCTTCTTTCTTCCTTTTTTATGTGTGTTCTTATTGCTATGAACTGCCCTCTGAGGACTGCCTTAGCTGTGTCCCAGAAGTTTTGGTAAGTTGTATCTTCATTATCATTTGTTTCAAAAATTTTTTTTATTCTTTATTTCTTTTATAACTCAATCATGTTCTAGCAGAAAATTATTTCGTTTCCACATGGGTGGTTTTGTAAGCTTTACTCTTCAGTGGTTAATTTCTAATTTTATGACATTGTGAACTGAGAAAAGACTTTGTATTATTTCAATGTTTTTTAATTTGTTGAGGCTTGCTTTGTGTCCTAATATAAAATAGATTCTGGAGAATGTACCATGTGCACTTGAGAAGATACTAAATTGAGTTTTAGTTGGGTGCAGTTCTCTGAATACATCCACAAGGTCAAGTTGCCTGACTGTATAGTTTAGGCCTTCTGAATCTTTGTTGGGTTTCTTTTGATTTGACCTATCCTTTGATGATAGTGGTGTATTGAAATCTGCTACCACTATTGTGGTGCTATCTATTGCTCTCTTCAATTCTGTTAGTCATTGTTTTATGTATTTTGCTGCTCTATCATTTGGTTCATAAATGTTGACCAAGGTTATGTCTTCTTGATCTATTGAGTCTTTAATCAGTATATAATGCCCTTTCTTAGTTTCTATAGTGTTTTTCATTCTGAAATCTATTTAATCAGAGATTAGCATTGCCACTCTTGCTTTTTTGAGGTTGCCATTTGCTTGGTAAATTTTTTTTCCAGGACTTAATTTTGAGTTTGTCTTTCTCTTACTTTTTTAAATGTGTCTCTTGTAGGCCAAATATTGATGGGCTTTGTTTTTTTATCCATTCAGCTACTCTTTTTCTCCTACTTGGTTCATTTAGTCCATTTGAATTTAGTGTGATTACTTTCAGACCAAGTTTTACTTTTGCCATTTTGCTGTGTTTCTTCTTCTGTTGTTTCTGGTTACAATGGTCCATCTACTTTCTTTTGGCATCTCTGTGTGAAGGACTTCCCTTAAAAGTTCTTGCAGTCTGGTGTTGTTTTCACAAATTCCTTAAGGTCCTTCTTTTGTGCAAATTACCTGACTTCTCCTTCATATTTGATGAAGAGCTTTGCTGTGTATAGGATCCTTGGTTGGCAATTGTTTTCTTTTAGCTTTCTGTATATGTCATCCCACCATCTTCCAGCTCATGTGATTTCTACAAGGAAATCAGAACTTCATCTAATTCCTTTCCCTTTATAGGTGACTGTTTTTCTCCCAGTGCTTTTAGTATTCTATCTTTTTTTAATCTAGATAATTTGAAATATTTTTAATATAATCTTGAATATACTTTTCTTTTCGGGTCTAGTCTATTCGGTGTTTTTTTTTTTCAGTTTCTTGGATGTGAGTTTCTCTGTTCTCCATAATACCTGAAAGTTTTCTTCTAGTACCTTTTCCACAACTTCCTCAGTGATTTCCCTGTCCCTCTCATGTTCTGGAATTCCAGTAATATGTACATGTTCATTTTTATGTCATTCCACATGATTCTAATGTTTTGTTCATTTTCTTTTTGCTAATCTCTGATTTTTCTCCCAGTATGTTTCCATTGAGGCTTTTGTCTTCCAGCTCACTTACTCTCTGTTCTGTTTCTTCTATTCTATGATTTTGTCCCTATAGCATGTTGAGCACTTTTCCTGTTTCAGTCCCTTTTTTTCTTTTTTATTGTTCATTTTAATGAAAGTTTACAGAGACTTTGGATTTCCATTCATTCATTGTTGCACTTTTCTCCCTGCCTACCCTTCCCCCATCCCCAGTTCGCTCTTCTTTTTCAAAAGTAAAAGCAAACTCCTTCCGTTAGTATACAAACCTTTCATTAGTATACAACTCCTCTCCCCAAGTCCACTCCACTATGCAGCCTTCATTTTAGACTCCTGTCATGACAATAATACCTGATCACAGTTCTCTCCCTCATCTGTTTCAATGCAGTATATATAATTTATCCCATCTTTCTCAGTGTCCCCCAGGCCCAATGTCAGTCTTGTTTTACAACAGTGGTGCTATGCAGTATTTGTCCTTTTGAGATATTTCACTCAGCATAATGTCCTCCAGGGTCACTTATTTTGTATAATATTTCATGAGTCCCTTGTTTTTCAATGCAACATGGTATTCCATTGTGTGAATATATCCATTTGTTTGTTGATAGGTCCTGTTTCAGTCTTAATATTCTGGAGTGCATGTTCATGCTTTTCAGTTATTTGCAATAGTGTTTTGGCAGTACCCTCCCTGTCTTGTGATTATTTTTTTAAGTTTTTGTACCTCTTTATCTACAATCTTAATCCTTTCTTCCATCCTTTGCATTTTTTCTGTAGTTGGCCCAAAAACTGCAGGCCTGAGGACCCAAAGTGGGGTGAGTGTTGTTCTCTGGGAAACTACAGCTGGTCCATGCCTGTTCCCCTTTGGCTTTAAGAAATCCCAAGCCTTCTTGATGTGTTTCAATCAGGAAGATTCACGGATAGAATTATCTTTCTGTTAAAAAATGTCAATTCATATCCCATCAATTCCTGGAGTGGTTGTTTGTTTGTTTGTTTGTTTTAACTAATGCCTTTAGTATAGTTTGAACTTTTTTTTTTCACTGCCATTGGTTCTTAGTCATATGCTACTTCCTGCAACAAGTCAGTATTGATAAAGGAGTGGAAAAGGCACCTAAGAATGAGACCTTAAAAATGTACAGAATTTAAAGAAAACTAGAAACGTGTGCTCATCAAAGCCAAGATAAAAGAAGGTTTTAGAAGGGAAATTAATTATGTAATCAATGTGATCTAACAGTTACATAGATACATATAAGACAGTATTTGGGATGTCACTGAATTTGAAAAGTTTAAGTTTGGTAGTCAAACTCATTAATTTCTGAG